ACAATTTCTCCCGAAGAGTTTTATTGTTAGAATATTCTATGTCAAGAACACGGTGTATTTTTAGCCATTCACGCTGAATAACATCCTCCTCACTTAAGGGCACCTGTCTTGTCTTTACGAAATGTCGGTATTTTTGACTCGAAACATTCATTAGCCAATATCCAGGAACCCATTCTACTTTGCGATAAGATAGATCTTTGAATTTAACAAGCATCTCAACTTCATACGCATTTATTGAACTATCTGATTCATTCGATATAGATGATTTTTCTTCAGATTTTTGTGAAATAAATCTAAATGTTAAAATTTTATCGATTTCCCTGTTCCACAGATTACATAAATGACAATTCCATTTCTCGCGATAAAATTCCATTTTAGACTCAATTAAATCATGATCGTTCAATGCAGGAAGACAACTATCATGCATAGTGAGTGTGCATCGATTACACCGAAATAGCAAATTTGGATAAGAGTCTGATGTCGAACTTGAAGATGATGCCGCATCCTCTTCATCAAAGTCTATCTCATCTGAATTCATTTCCTTGTTGGTTTGTTGAATCTCATCGCTATTTACTTCCTCATTGGTCGTTTGTTGAACCTCATTTACAACATCTCCTTTGTCTATACCCATTTCTTTGAATTTTTGATGTTCTTTATTATTTATTTCCTTATCATGTTGCTGATTATCATCCGAAAATTTATGACAAATAATACACTCTGGTTTGTTTTCAATACAAAACTTACATTCAACAATGCCATTCACAACTGTAGACCTTAATTGATAACACTGTCGATGATATGTAATTGAGCATTCACCACAATATACGAAAGTCGCATTGGATTTGCTATCGCCACACTTATTACACCACCAAATATGCTTTTCTATGAATTCTGGATCATCCTTTCGCAATGTTTTATATGGAGGAATCGGATCTGCGACATGTACATACTGCACCTCGACTTCTGATTCCGTCCCTAAAACTTTTGGAATGTGCTCATTAGGTCCATTAGAAGTATCTATTATTATTTCATTATCAGGCTCATCTGAAGATACTTCATAATAGTTGTTGTTTATATCCTCTTGGAATGTATTCTCTTCTTGATCAGACGATTCTGATGGTTCTGACTCATCATCATCATCATCACCATTAGATGATCCTTCATAATAGCTGGTATCCTTGATATTTATACTATTTCGTAGAGATCGCCTTTTTTGCTCAGACGAATCATCATACGTATTGGCCCGACGAGATTTTTTTCGCCTATTATTTATTATTCGTCTTGAAGGTTTGATACGCTTTGTTTCATTCTCGTCATCTGAGAATTCCTTTACTTTCCTCTTTGAATTTTCATTACTGTTACCAAGGCGACTTGAATAATATTTCTCGTCAGAGTAATTGATTCGTGGCACTCTTCTTTTTGAACGCGTAGCGATTTGATAGTCCAGATCCGAACTGTCATCTTCCTCTTCGTCTTCCTCTTCTCCATCGTTCAACATTTCATTTTTGTCTGCAAGTTCATGTTCTGATGTTTCATTATTTTCTGTATCAGTGCTTTCTTCAGATTCAAGTTCACTTTCTGAATCTAGTTGAGATATTTTTTCTTCCTGAGGCGCTTTTTCTTCCTGAAATTTCAACAATGTTTAGATCATACCGATATTTTGACGAAGTACTCAATTACTAATTATAACGTTAACTAACCTTTGAGCTTTGATCTTCATCAGAAGAATTTGTCAGAATAATGATTTTTCTTCTGGTGGCTTTAGTAGATTTTTTTCCACCTCGTTGTGGCACTTGAAAGGTAACCCTCTTTCCACCTCGTTGTGGCACTTGAAAGGTAACCCTCTTTCCACCTCGTTTCGATCTTGTTAACATTGCCAAATCTTTTTTGGAACTATTTTAATAATAAAATACGATTAATGAGCTATACTCGAAACGTATATCAAGATACTTGAAAATAATATTAGATCCGAAAACTATTTAAATTTTACATACCCTTGAGAAATATTTATGAACCTTCTTCACCAATCTTAATAAAAATATTCAAAAGGTTTGATTAGCTATGAAAGACGTAACGCCATTAAAAGTCAAGCCACTTGAACCAGTTACGCGTGACGACAATCATAAAGGACTCTTATAGCTCAACTTACCAAACTTACCTGTTAGAATCACGGTAAGGAAAATAATTTGCTATGAATCACCTTAAATTTCCTTGTATGTGTAACGGTGTGTGTCACGTGATACTTGAAGTCATTACACGAACAATATTGTAATACAGTAGTATATTGTGTCAAAGTTTAGTTTGCGTAATTCGCAATTGTTATTTACCAAAAGAAATAAAAGAAAATCAAAATAATATCGTTCTAAAAGTGTCACGAACGCGCGTCTTCTTTATTATTAAAATTATTTGCTTGTGTAATATTGTTTCATATGTTTTCTAACAATTGTGTTTTAAAATTTTATTGTAAACAAATAACATTATTGATTTTCTATTTTTATTTATTATACAGTATATGAGCTATTCCTTACAAGAGTAATTTCTACTGTTGTAATTACATAATAAGTATATAACTAGTTACATGTATAACTTTAATTATTATCTAATTTAAGTATAGCCAACTTTGTGTAAACTTTTTAATATAATTCTTAATAAAGCTTTTGATATATGTAGATTAATAGTTATAAAAACATAAAAATTTTATTATACAGATCTTATCTATTTTTAAAATATGCTATTAAAAGTTTTAAACTTTTGTAATATTATAGAGTTTAAATTATACAAAGTTTTAGTTATTTTTATTAATTGTATTAAATTTTTTTTTTTTTTTTTTTTTTTTTTTTACTTTATACAAATGCCATCAGCTGAAACTTTATTGGTTATTTGATAGTA